AGTTTAGCTTTAGCCATCACGAACGAACAGTGATTACAACCGTCGGTGTCAGTAAGACGTAGGTAGCTGACGGCACCATAACCTCGTTCGGACGCATCTGCGAAATGATGTAACTGTGCCTTGACAATGGCTTCACTGTGGACAGGTTTAACACATCTTGGTACCTTCATTCCTTCTATCAACGGCAGATCTGTTAACCACCGTTTCCACTGCTCGAGAATGGTGCTGGGAATAGGCTCGTCCCACCCTATCTTGAGGCGGCAGAGTGTCTGGAAGATCATCTTTGCTTTTAGGACGAAGGGGCTGACAAATCCAAGTGGGTCGTATATTGAGCTTGTGACGCTCAGCAATCCTCTTCGGGTATCGGGTTTCTCTTTTAGGTTGGTGTCAAATCCAAAGGTGTCTGTCTCGATCTTCCAAAGTACTCCCAATGCTCGCTCTGATGGAAGTAGTTCCTTATCTAGGTCCATGGACGTGACAGCCTTTGCACACTCGGCCTGGGGTAGTGACTTCAACACGGCGCGAGAGTTACTTAACCACTTGGTCAGTCGGAATCCTCCACGGGCTAGCAACTCACGTAACTGACTGACTAGCCGAGTGGCTTCATCTTCGGAAGAAACGGATTTGAGGCAGTCGTCAACATAGAAGTTTTGATCTATGGTCTCAATGGTGGCGGTGTCGTACAACTCATGGTAATCTTGTGCTACACGCTTCAAGGTGAAGTTAGCACAACTTGGACTCCAAACTCCTCCGAATAAGTGAGCTGTCATCCGGTACATCAGTGGTTGGGACTCAATATCGTCTCCCTTCCACCAAAGGAAACGAAGGGCGTCTCGGTCAGCCATGGACACACGAACCTGATGAAACATGCCTTCAATGTCGGCCATGAGAGCTATGCGTTCTTGTCTGAAACGCAGAAGAACTCCGATCAGCTTGTTCGTCAGGTCAGGTCCTTGATAGACGGTGTCATTGAGTGAGGTACCTTGGTACCGGGCGGCGCAGTCATATACGATGCGAACCTTGTCTGGTTTACGCGGGTTGATCACAGGATGATGTGGGAGATACCAGACACAGCCATCTCTTCGATCAATGTCCTCCGCAGGAACTGGCTCTGCATATCCCTTCTGAAGGAGATCATGGATGCCGCTGGTGTACTTCTCCTTGAGTGAGGGGTCCTTGGAAAGACGCTTACCCAACAATTTAAGTCGGTGTTCTGCCATCAACCTGTCATTGGGCAAATGCGGTGGTCTTTCCTTGAATGGAATGTCCATGGTGTAGTTAACTCCGTCACGGTGCAGTGAGTTCTCCCAAATCGAAAGAACTTTCTTTTGGATGACAGACATCGTCTCGTTGTCACTGCCCACAGTTTGCACGTCATCAATCCTCCAAAATCTTTCAACCTGGCGTTGAAGATCCATGTCTGGTTTGACGAAGTAGGAGGATGAAGACTTGGGCCTCTTCTGGTGTGTTACTGGACCATTTAGGGTCCATCCCAAAGCGGTCTTGGTAGCATAAGGTTCGCCTTTTGAGCCAGCGCGAACCTCACTAGGTATCATTATGTCTGGGACGTCTTGTCCAATAAGAAGGTGTACATCGTCAATGTTGACATCTGGTATCGGTAAATCACTGAGGTGTGGCCAGAGGCTTAGGTCTTCTTGAACGGCAAGACTGTCGAGGCCGACGTTTAGCTGGGGCCTCGTAAGAACATCAGACAACGAAAATAGGTGTGTGTCATCAAGGTCGGCCACCTCGAGGTGGACGACACTGGTGTGTACTTGAACTTCTTTCTGGTCAAGTGTAGTGAGTCTGATGGTGTCCTCCTTGCCGTAGATGCCTAGGCGTCGTGTCAAATCCTCTGAGCAGAAGCTCTGCGTGGAACCGGTATCTAAGAGAGCATAGGTTTTCACAAACTGCTGTTCCCCGCGAACTCTGACCTTAACGGGAACAATGGGTAGTGCAATCTTTCCAGCGCCGACCCCAGTGGAGTTACAGACAATTATGGGATTGTCTGCGGGTTGAGCTTGGGATGAGCTTGAAGACCCACCTGTTGTAGATTGGCCATTGTCGGTGGCCCCTGAGGAACGTGGGTCGTTTTGCGGGCGTGGGAGGTGCAGGTACTTGTTGTGCTTTTTGCCGCATCCTTGGATTGAGCACACAAAGGGTCGTGGGCAGTCCTTACCCAAATGTCCAGGCTTGTAGCAGTTGACACAGAGTCTCTTGCCCTGCACAAAGGCAAGCCGGTCCTTAACTCTGAGTGACTTGAATGTGTTGCATTGGTTGAGGTGGTGGTTTTGTCCGCAACTGGGGCAGGGATCAAGAGGGGGTGAGGTTGTCTTCGGTTTGGGCTTGTCATAAGGGTTTGTCACTGCAGATGTGGTTTGGACGCCAAAATTCGTCCGTCGGTCACTTGGCTTGTTAACCTTTGGCTTGGTGTCTCCTCTGATTGATCCTCTCTGGATGATTTTGCCAAAGACTGGGTCACGAACCTCCTCGGCTGCCGTTGTCACAAAATGCGTGACGTCATCAATATTTGGGGGTCTAGATTTGGTGCGCTTTATTTTGTGTACCTCTCGTAGCCATCTGGTTTTCAGGTGGTATGGTAGCTTGTCAACGATGAGGAGTAGGCTGCTTCTGTTGTTTAATTCGTTGAGGTACCCCATGGTGTCGAGTGTCTCACGACAGCATCGCAAATCATCTGCGAGATCTTGCAGCGATTGGTTGTCTGTGACATTGGGCCTCATTGTCACCTTGTCAATCCATGATTGTGATATGGTGTGCTCATCGCCGTATCTCTCCTTGAGGAGACGGAGCGCGAGAGTATAACCCTCTGAGGGTTCCTTCACGGTGCAGCACCGGAGAAGTTGCCTTGCCCTTCCGGTGCAGTACTGGAGCAGACGTGTCAATTTGGCACCGTCACTTACTGTCTCCCTTGCAACGGTGTTCTGGAACTCACGGATGAATGTCCAGTACTTAAGTGGATCGCCATCGAATGTTGTGAGTTCCGCCTTGGGAAGTTGAAGTGCCTCCACCAGGGATTGCTGATGAACGCGCGTGTCTCTGATCAGTTCGTGTAGTAGGTATCCTGTGTCGGGTTGCAATTGGTTTGATGGAGCAGCAGCGGGTGTGGGAATGGTGAATGGTGTTGGTACATAACTGGGCTGTGGAGACTGCAATGGGGTATGCTCATGTTCCAGAGGGCGCTTCGGTGTAGGTTGGGGTGTAGGGTTTGTTTTGAAGCACACTTCTGAATTTGCCTCCTCAGCTTCAGCATATGTCCTTGCAAGAGCATCGGCTCTGGCATATTTCACCTTCAGCTCAATTTCTCGTCTTCTCTGCTCCAATTTGAGATGGCGCTGCTGGGTTTCGATTTGAACTTGAAGAGTTTCAAGTTCAAGGGCATTCTGCTCCTCCATGGCCTTGGCCTCTGCCTCAAGTGCAGCCTTTTCTGCCTTGGCTTTGATGTGGGCACTGGAGGTCGATGACTTCACTGATGAAGTAGTTGATCTGGCATGGAAGAGTTGGTGTAAATGGTAGCCATGCTGGCTGGCAGAGTCACCGACATTGATATCGTCGACTCCCCCATGTTCTTCGGTAGGTTCTCCAACGCCATCGTTCATGATATCACCGACATTGATACTGTGGAATCCCTCATGATCCACTGTGGGTTCTCCAACGCCATCGTTCTCATTATTGATGTTATCCATAACGGGAAAGTCTCATAGAAATTCCAGAGAACGTACAAAACTAATATAGCCGATTACAGCTATAGACTTGCGTTATATGGTTGTGAAGAATTTTGTCCCATAGTACAATATACGCTTCCTGCTCTCTTTATTTACAGTTCACAATCAATTGCAGAAATGAAGTTTGATGTTCTGATGTACATGTAGGATGGAAATACGGTAGGAATGATTCGGAAGTAAGGAAGGTTTTGCTGAAAAACAACAAAATATAAAGGGGAATTATAAACTAATATAAATGGTAGAGTAAAGTAAATTGGGTACACAAAAAGGAAATAAACAATTAGATATTAAACAAGTAATAATTAAACTATAAGATAAATGAAGAAAAACTATGTACTTACTACGCTGGGGGTGTTGCCAAAATTGGGTGTCTAACGGTGTGTCTAACGGTGTGAAAACTAACTATGTATAAAACTAACGGTGTATAAAAGCAGGTGTTGTAGGTTTGGACACTAGCAACAGAATGATGGGAAAATGGGCTAAAACTATGGTCAATGTACAGACAGTGTCCTAACAGGGTGAATTATGGCGCCTTAGGGAATGTTTTGGTCTGGAGTTGGGAGAGGTTGCTATGGGAACCGCCACCCAGGCCTGGCAGAGTTGGGCAAAACAAGGTCGTACAGGGATCGGGGACTGTGGTCAAGGGATCTTACACTAAATTGTACATCTAAATTGTACATGTACATGGTCTAAGCTAAATAATGAGGATAAAAATATTTTCTAAACCTAAAGATGATTAAATGCTATTAATTAAAGACAAAAATAATAAGAAAAAGTAAATAACACACAACGTCCGCTACAGTGAAGTACAATTGACATTCCGTTCTGGCATGTGCCAATTTGACCGAGTATGCCAAAATACGTGTGCATGTAATAAACCATCTTTAACAAAATTCTGATCAGCTTGTAGTATCAGATTTCTGGCCTTTTTGTCATCATCTGGTAATTCATTTATTTCTAAAAAAAAACTTACCAGAAAAGTCATCTACTGCTAGTGCTTGTTTGAATGTTTCGAAATGGAGGAGCCACTTTTTCACCACAGTCATTACTCGGTATCCTTAAAATATCTTACGATATCTTAAAATTCTTTACAACGTTAACATTCGGACTGGAAGACTAAACTCCATCAGGAGTGCACAAAACATCATCGGCTACCTCTTTAAATTCCGTTTCTACCCATCTGGTATCCAATGACGTTGGAACAGTATTGTTCGAAACATGTCATTGACTACATTCAGTGCAGGGTCTACCACTCACCTGACTGATGCGATTGAATCCGTACTGCTTGAATCGTTCATCGTAGAGTGGCACGTCCCTGTGACCGATGTAGAACGGTTCCCACATTGGCTTCCATTCTACAGTATAGGCAATGTTCACTGCACCAGGAGTTCCCTGGAAAATCAAACACAATGGACAAAATAGCAATGAATATCCTCGATCACTCAAGTGATTTGAATACTTTTTATAACAATATAGCTTTTTGTTTTCAAGCTTCTCTTTTTTTAACCCTAACAACCCTGAGCCCATCAAGCTCCAACAGCGGGTTTTGCTTGATTTTGGCAGGGTTGGTACCGAACACTGGCCAGCTGGTGTTGGACTTTGATTGACTGGGTACCAAAGGCCCAGGGAGACCCTGTTGAATTTTGTGAGGTTCGGGGCAGAAGGGCATGAGATTTGTGAACACGTTGGAGTTTGAGGGAGTTCACTGGCATTTCTTCGTGGGTATGCTCACCCATGGTCCTCAGCACAGTTTGTGGTCAAATGTGCATGTACATGGGAGTTCACAGGCATTTCTTCGTGGGTACGCTCACCCACGGTCCCCAGTACAGTTCCTGGTCAAATATATTGCTTTATTTTGTTAGGTTTGGTACCATCCCTATCCAATCACTCGACAATGCATAGGCCCATCCATACCAAGTCAATCAAACACCAACAGTTGGAGTTTGGCAGGTTTAGTACTGTTCCCCGAACAAGGCCTGTTGGAGTTTGGCAGTTTTGGTACCAGTGCTTACAGACCTGTATGCAGCTGTTGAAATTTGTTAGGTTTGGTATACTTTCTAGTGCAAGAGCCTAGGGGGTTAGGGTTAAAGTAGGGATTTTTTGCTGGTGGTTTTATACTTATTAACTTTTCATAAACTGAAGTTTTCGACTTATAATGTAAATCTTTAAGTGTCTAAATATATGTAAATTGTTTTTATGTGCACATTGGGAAGAAGAATTTCACTTTTAAAGTATTTTAATTGTGATGAAATAAAATATTGTATTGTTTTTGTATTGTATTGTATTTTAATTAAGAAAAGGGCAATAGTTTAAAAGCATTAATTTATTAAAACTGCAAAACAGAACAATTTATACAAAATTAATGACATCACAAGGGATACAAAGGAGTCACTGTCTGGCAGCTAATAATTTGAATATTGTAAAGAAATATTTCAATAACTAAAAGTCGAAGGATTTTCTGTTCGATTTTCACATCCAAAAGTGAATAACTTTTATATTGCTACCGGTAGGGAAATACATGTAGCAATAGAACAAATTTATCTATTTTTATAATTGAAACTCAAAAATAACATGGGGAACGCATTAAATTGAAATTACAAATTGAAATGCTTGCATAAATAGATTTTCCATGTATCCTTACAATTTACAAATTTAATTGACAACACATGCTTCTTCCATTTTTTCTCATTTGTAAAATCTTGCAAACTATAAACAAACTGTTCCATCATATTATTTGAACTGAAAATACTCAAACGAAATGTCCCCCCCCCCCCCATCAAAGCGGTGTGGCTACAAGAAATAACATTAGGAAGATGAAAAACAAATACAAGTGCAATGCAGTACAACTGTCAAGCAGCGTGTTGGTTTGCAAGAGGAGAAGAAGAAGGGGAAAAAAACCTCTCCTTATATCTACACCCGAAGCCCCCTGGCTGTTATTGCGCTGAAATTTCAGCTGCAGACAAAGGCTTTGCGGACTTGCCAATGGGGTGGCGTGCATCTGCCCGGGATTAGCAGCGGCGTTCCCATTTCAGTTAGGAGTGGCTTAAACCACAGAGTAAGGAAGGACGTTCAGTCACCGATATCCGGGCTAGCAAAAAAAAAAATTCATAAACTCTTTGAAATTTGATTGAATCTCGTGCTATTGGGCTAAATTAAAGGGTACTTCTTGTGTACAGTATTGTACCTGAACTCGTATGGGTTTTTTTCTCTACTGTTTTAGAATGTTTTGGGTGGTACCGGTATTTGGAAGAGGGGGATCAGCCTTTAGTTGTAGCCCCGAGGACAAAGTCAGTTAGGCCATGGTTTTGCGTATATGTACATGTACATGTACATGTCAAATACATGGGGGAATATGCATTTAATTCATAAACAGAAAAAAAAAACACATAGGCCCTACCAGTATGTACAAAAATGCTGTAACAAAAAACAATGTGAACAATATTTTACTAGCCCATCACTGCTCACAAAGGCCTAAGTGTCCACGTTATTCATTTCTTCCTCTAATTAACAATGTTTTGCACAAGAATTTTGCTTTGTTAAGCCGCCTTCCATCACTACACACAAATACATGGGTTCGATGTATTACAAATTAAAGGGAATATACATCATTTGCTTTTGCTGTAATTTTCAGAAATGGATGGAATTGGGGGGGTTGGAAATATATAGCAAATATAGTTACACTGACTTTTTTGAGGTTTTGGGTTCGAAAATGCTATAAAAACCAAGAAAAACAATCATTTTCCTGTAGTCTGGTTCCCTGACTCCATTTAAGAAGAAACAGAGCAGTTTACATATATTGGGGAATTGTAAGGTCAGGGAACCAGTCTAGCTGGCTTGTACTCGTTCATAGGTGTGTAATCGATTGCAAACAAGTGCGATGGCCAATGGGGGCCAGTATTTGAAAAAAAAAGCCAGTTTTTTCCAACACTGATCGGCCGATCAGCGTTGGAAATTGATACAAAAATACCACTTTTCTTGAAAATGACAGTATACCAGGTGCCATAATTTTACAGGATGCTTTAGACTGTCATTTACCAACATCCTATTAAGGTATTTCGCAAAAACTGGGTAGTTTTATTTTTCGATGTTTGCAAATGTTGTATATTCCCTTTAAGCCGCCTTCCATCACCACACACATATATTTACACGGGTTCGATGCATTACAAATTAATCAGCAATACAAATTCTCTAAACACATGGTGCTAGAGCCCTCAAAATTCAAGCACATTTAAGAACTCTGCAGGAGACCTTGCATGCCCCCTAGCAAATTGGAATCCACCTGTGGTTTAAGTTAGCGGGATGATTCTTACACCTGCTGCCATCGACAACAGGTGACACTGCTCGGACTTTATTGGCTAGCTTCTTCATTTATGGTAAATCCTTGGGCCTGGATTTTATTAAACGGACACTTGATATTGGACAAACTGCCTTGATTTCATGACAGATTCAGTCTGTAGTTACTTTTGTTTCAAGTGCAGTGATATCCTTTTTACGAATTAAGATCAAATGCCAAGATTATTCTTTGTGAGAGCATTGAGAAAGGAAACTAAAGAGGGAGACCAACGCCCAGGAATGTACGTGTAGATAAGCTTGTAACTTGTAGTGTTTTTTTTTCTTCTTCTTTTTTTTGGTTTAACCCTCCTATGCAAACATACATCCTGTGCCAAGTTGTCCTTTCAGTCAAAATCAATTAAGTGACTGATTTCAACAGTTTTAAGAGTTCCCAGCCTACACAAAGCAGGATTGACTGGCTGTGACTGTTTTTGTAACTTGATACAACTAGGCCTACATGTATGCTTTGACTGTGTGTGATAGATAAGCCAGATGTGTCCACAATTTGCCTGCGTTTGTTGATTGAATTTGACTAGCTTGCTTTCTTGACCTACGTGTGTGTGATCTGACTGTTGTTGGCTAGCCTGTATAAAAGGTATGGCAGGGGAAGAAGAGGATTGATTTTTTTGTTGACTGTCTGTGACTGTTTTAACAGCAGGAGGATTAATTTGTTTAATTAATTATATGTTTTAATGGTGGTGGGGTTGCGGTGGAGTAACAACCCAAGCTTTGGTACCGGTACTTCATTAACTTTTGTAAAAGAACCTTTTTTAAAGAATTTCCAAACCAAATTCATCCCGAAACTCCATCAACTTTGTTGCCATTTAAAGTCCCAATACAAATAATTTGTTTAGGAAACTTGTAATAAATTACCGGTAATACACGTTTATTTTTGTCAACAGTGCAATAGACAGACATATTTGTACTGGCACTACCAGTACAGTTAATAGGTGTCATGAATCAGGAATCATAAACCACCAGATGGGCTGTAATCCCTTTTTAATGATGCTCAATACCTGGCTGATGGTCTGTCTAATTCCCTGGCAAATTGCAAGCCAGCCAAGGTCATCTGAAATATTACACTTCAGTGCGGCCACAAATTAAAAATTGTTGTGTTGCCCTCACATACAAAAATATCAGGAGGGTGGTTCGGTTGGGGATTTTTGGGGGGTGGGGGCTGGAAAGGGGGGTATACATAGTGCACATTATGGGCTCCGTGCCCCAACACAAGAGGGCGCCCTTTTACCTAGCAACGACGTCCCATGGGCGGGACATTTAGCTGGTTGACACGCACCGTTCCTTGTGTGTGACGCATGTACCGGTACACCAGGGGATTTGTACTATGAACACGCAGTGGTCCGTACGGCCCCGCATCGCGGCAAAATTGCAGTCAGGCAAAATGGCGTCGGTCGGTCACCCCCAACTGTACTTTCTTTGCCTGTGAGGGGGTACTTGTGAACGGAGCGGATATGTCTACCGGTACCCTTTCTTCTATTCCCAATCCCATTCCGTTTCCAGTTCCCCTCTACCACAGTACACAAAACATTTAGGCTACATGTACTGCATGCGCCAACTATACTGATATATGTGCGTGTTTGCGTGTATGCATGATATACAATGTGGTACAGTGCAAAGTTCTACTGGTACGTGTACATGTATGTTTACATCATACATACTGCCCCAGGCTTCAGCCTCAGTTACACGTACAAAATACGGTAAATTTGAATTGTACTACAATTTAGGTATGTGTGCAAAATTATGGCAGTTACGGTAGGGTTAAAGTTATTTAATTTTTTTCAAGTGGGAAAAAAAAAACACAGGAGATTTCCAGATTTTTGGGTTGGTCGGATGAGGGCAACACATTTTTTTTTTTGAGGGCCTAATGGTATAGTCATCAAGTTGAACTGAAGTGAGTGACTGGTACTAAATTGTTGCTGATGATACAACGCATTAAGGCAGTACAGTGCATGGACCATGATCAAGCACTGTAGACTTGTAAGTTTCCTATATACCATGGTATTATTACACAGGCTTATATGACTTCAGTAGCGCATGAATGA